TTCATATTGTGGTTTCACTTGTTGATAGGGTGGGTTCTTATACAGCAGTCGGAAAGACTTATGGACGTACATTCACTCCCCACACCACCCCTGGCAGGATTTCTTCCACTTAAGTCAAAATGGACTGTTGGAAAATGTCACTAAAACCACAAGAAATGCTCAAGAAATCCTCGTCTTCACTCCACATGAAAGACTTAGAAAAGAGTTTGACTGCTGGGAATTTAACACCACTGAAGCTGCTCTCGGGTGACTACGGGGGTTACATGGCGGAACTCCGCTTTCCACTATGAACCAATATTCATTCTATTCGGCATTTCGATACGGGTCCATATTAAACCAAAACCGTTGTATTCCATTTGGATATTCCATAACGTAGCGCTTATTCCAAAGTGGAGCCACCTTTCCAATTAAGACACACAACTCTGGACACTATTTATAAACACATGGAATATTCCCGTTCAATTTTTGGTGCTGAGCAGCCTTCTGATTAATTAGTCAGACCGTGTGTCTGAAAACAAACCGACACGTAGATCCAACCTATTGCCCAATGCCCGCCCCCCGCGTGACCACCAGAGTTATCTCACAAAACCAGACAAAGCACAAACCTGAATATAACTGTCTTTTCTGGAATTAGCCAAAATCGGAATATTTTGTGCATGTAAAATTGTTTGTCCAATGTCAAATGGGGTAGAATATTTGACTCGAATAAGTATGATAAATTATAATTGGGGGTTTGGCTAAATAACTTCACGTTACTTGCGTTCTAACAGCTTTGAAACATTTGAACTTGATATTAAGGGATAAAGAAAGAACATGTTTAAACAGACACCTTATAATAAAAGGGGACCCAGCAAGGTGGAGCCCAAATTCAACAACAATTAATTTAATTATCCAACTCCTATGCACCAGTAATTACGCCACTGGCTGTGGTGCAAGTTTGTATTAATAAAGATAGAGTATGATCTTAGTCTTTCTGTAAGGTTTCTTCAAGCTTCATCCATGAATTGGGGTTTCAACGCACCGTCACACACCTCTCGTATGTGAAAAGTCCGACAGACCCTGATTGTAGGAGCAGTTTATGGTTTTATAACCTGTTTGGAGCTCCACTCTTACCGACGGTTACACATTCCGAGTTCCGTTGGGGACCCAGTAAACAACAGAATAGGCGTGGTGAGCTGATCATGTCCTTGGCTTCTTAGTGAAGTCTCAACCTCCCGCTGTTTACTTGGATATAGAGTGTAGTTAGAAACAGGGCTAAAGGTTATATGCATAATATAGCCTCTTTTACAGTTGCGTATCGTTTTACAATGACCAGGTCAAAGGGTTGTATAGGTTCTTAAAAATTGCCATTACACTGGCTAGTGTTAACTTTAGATGTTTTGAAGTAATTGGAGCTGTGCTTACATTGGCTTTTCTTATCCTAATCTACAGGTGTTGAGTGTAAATAACTGGAAACAGCATCTCACACCCCCAACAAGTCCATTCTGAAATATTAACCTCATTTGAAATGTTTCATTGTCAATCAAACTACTCTACAGTTTTGTTTTACGTCTCGTAAAAGAATCCCTTTGTGATGTAAAACTATCCATCAGCATCTTGTCTCTTGTCATCCACAGGGCCAGCAAAGTGAGGAATAAAGGTCCAAAAGACATCATGGCTGTAGAGGAACAGAACGGAGAAGTCAAGTTCTCCACACACCTCCCTTACCCCAACAACCTCAGCAGGTTGGTACCCCGTCAAAATATATCACTTCAAACACTGCTCATACACTGTGCTTCCAAGAGAGAGAAATCACACATTGCTTGTTTAAATCAAAGGGAAACTCGACTATTTGGACAGTGTTTGGTGCCACTTTCTCTCCTTGAACACACATTTTAATGGCTGTTATGTAGAACCCTGTCGGAGCCGATGGAGTCACTGCTTCAGCTGATGTTGAAGTGGGATCCTGTCCAGAGAGGAGGCAAAATCAACCCAGACACCAAGAAACCAAAGTGCTTTGACGCACTGGAGCAGATACTGAGTATGAAGGTGAGTTCCTGGCAGAGCTCCTTTTTTTTAAAGTTTTATCTTACAGCCTATCACCAGTGCTTTTGAGCCACTTGAATCTGGGTCAACCAGCTTTTACACATTTCTCCTGTAACTGATAGCCTTTTCTTTGAAATGTTTTTATACCAGTGCCAGAGTTTCTGTACTGACATCAAAGTTTTTTTCCATTTAACAAAAGCAGCCAAAGGTTCTTGGAGTTGTTTTAATGTTGTCTAAACACAAGCAGCCATACAAGAGCGTCACCTCAATGAAACAGATAACAGCCTCAGCAATCTGATCAAACACTTAATGCCAGATTTCAGTTTTATATATTTGCTGCTAGGAGTTAAAGTTACGATACACAGCCTGTTTATGATTTAGACATGGAAATGTTTAGCCTCTGGTGAAACATTTAACTATTTTAAAGGGAACTGAGCTGGTTTTACTCATCAAATCGTGTTTACAATTTTGGGAGAGTTTTACTGCATGTGTTGTTGATGAAAGTTGTAGTGATACGCAGACCGGCTCTGAGTGAGTTCATCTGGATCCTCATGTTGGCATAAATCATCCACCCGCCACCCACCTGAAGGAACCCAAACCCACAGGGACATTTCACTCCCCCTCTGCTGGGTCCCTGTAGGCAACATTGGCTTTTAAATGATCTCTGTGATTTTTCTTGTGTTGTATTGAGAGTTTTCTTTAATGACTAAGGAGACAGCTTTCAGTAAGTTTAAACATGCACTCACTAATGTCACTGCAGTAAATATGTCGTAGGACATTTAAGCAGCAACCAGAGTCAGAAATTAACACCCGCCACCCGTTGATTTTTTTCATTTTCTGCCACACTGGCGGGTTAATGTTTGTTAGAAGAAAAAACCTATGCTGGGAGTGCAGCGTTTTGGTGTAATATACTAGCTAACTGTCCTCTGCTGTCTGTTTGACACACACATACTACCAGATGGGTTTTTACGCAGAATTTAGTAGCTTGAATTAATTAACTGTTGAGCAATATATTAAAATAATTGTGCTTCGGATTTCACTCTGGCCTCTTCTTTAAGTTTGTATTCCACATAATATCTGATCATTTCAATGAAATGTACTGAAACGAATATATATGTGACACAAGAAAGTTATTTATTATGTTGCCTGGTAAAAAATATGCTTGGCCAGTGGATTTTTTTAATTTGCTAATCACCTTGGACAATCAAATAGTTAATTTTGGACACTGGGTGCAACCTAAAAAACTGTTGTTATAAACTATATGTTATAAAAACTCGACAGGACAGAGGAACCTTCTGAAATAATTTGTTTTGGATGTGTCGAACACAGAACATTAATAAACACTGGATACTGACCGATCCTGTCGGTGTGTTAGGAGATTTAAATAATCAATGAAGACACTGTTGTGCCTGGATCATAAATTCCACTTAATGGGCTTCACTGCATTTCAACCAACCCGCAACACAGCCGCTATTAATCCGAATGATCATTTTTATGACCCTGATCGGTGGATTAACCGCACTGCCTGCGGTTAGAACTGTGACCCGGGCATTAGTGTTAAAGCCTTTTGTGTCACCAGGCGGCGCTGCTGTCTGATGAACTGCCTCAAGTGATGTCAATTCAGTCAGCGTCAGTTGGGTCTGAAGACTCAAAGTCTGAAAGGGAAAGAAATGTGTTTGTGAAGAAGTGAACTTCTGTAGCTGCTCCTCATCAGCTGCTGCTAGTGTAACACCTGAATCTCCAACTGAACTGACGGTTGAGTTGAATTTTGGGTAATATAGGGCCAATGTTTTGAGAGTGAAGAAGAATGTGTAGAATAAATAAGACGATATTTCTGTTTTTTAAACTGCCCATTGTGAGTTGTAGTGTAATATTAAATCAGAGGAGTATTATTTTAAGGGGTTATGACCTTCAGTATACCAAACATTTCGGTAAACACAGAATTTCTGTCCCTGTGCTTTGTCCTAACTGCTTCCCTCTTGTGTCTCCAGGTGGTTCACATCCTGAACATGACCACGGCTCAGGTTCACTCTTTCCAGTTGACCACGGACGAAAGTCTCCACAGTCTGCAGAAACGCATCGAGGGCGAAACCAAGATCGAAGTGGTGAACCAGGAGCTGCTGCAGGAGACGGGAGTGTCCCTGGACCCCAGGAAACCCGCTGCGCAGTGTGTCCTAGACGGAGTGGTAAGCAGATTTCACACTGTGCAGCAACGGGTAGAAAACAAACAGAACAAACAAACAAATGAAATCGCTGTTGACGATACTTCTTGGTTTATGTGTGTTATGTGTTGGCAACCTCCCTGCGGACCTTTGTTGTATTTTGTCATCATCCATCTCGCTCTCTAGAAGAATAACAAACCCTTTCATATTACTGTAACGCACTGGAATCTTTACAAAGACTGGAGCAGGTGTGCAAAACACTTATGTCCGTGCTACAAATAGCTAAAATTGTGCAGAAAAAGCTGTGTCAGCAGGTATTATGATTCACACACACTCACCGTATGAGCGCAGAGGGACTTTGAATCACCCACTAACACTCTTTTGAGCGACAGGAAATGTTTTTTTCCGTCTGTATAATTGGTGTTTTTCTTCCTGTGCAGAGAGGGTGGGATAGCTACATCGTCTACCTGTTTGACAAGAGCATCAACACGTACTCCGGGCCCTTCAGTGCCAGACAACTGCCTGACAAAGTCAACACTATAGGTGAGTTTATTTTACCTGTACCTAGGATGCATCAATCCTAATCCATTTATTAAAGCACAGGGGCCACTTATTTCCACCAGTTTTCCATCACACTTCTTCCTGTATCAGTCTGTCAGGTGAAAACTGTGATATAGCAGATGATCATTTTCACCCATTCACTCCATTAAATGGCAGTATTGCCAGTGTTAACAGCAGCTGTCGTGGGTCTTGTTTTTGCAGTGCAAGAGGCCAAGATACAGATGCCCCTGGTTGTGTTGAAGAAGGTTTGGGGTGAAGCAGTGAGCTACATCTGTGGCCTGAAGGAGGACTACAGCAGGCTGTTCCAAGGACAGAGGGCTGCTATGTGAGTCACATGACAGACTTCTGTCATCTGTTATTTTTACCACGAAAAACATGACGTGCATTTGTATTATTTTTACAAAATCATAAAGAAATCCGCTTTTTCTCAACACAAACATATCAGATTTAATCCTGTTTACAAGTGTTAGTGTTGTTAAAGGCCTGTCAGTGGATCTGAGAGGGATAGAAAGCCTTAATCAAAGATGTTTGGGCTGTTGCACTTTTTAAGCAGGTCAAATCCCAGTGAAGCCTCTA